CAAGAATGATTCAATTTATGACAAAAGAAATGGTGTCCTTTCGAACAAGCACAAATATCAGAGATTAGCCATCTGAGCATATTTAAACAACCTGTCCTCTCTTCAGTTTATGCAAATATTGTTTTTAAAATTACATAAGAATTCAGAGAAGTTGTAGTACAAAGGTTAAAACTCATCCCAAATCTCTAAAACAGTATTTGGATCATTTGTCTACCTTCAGAAAAAAAATGACAAGCATTCTCCAAATATGAACATTTATTTATATTATATACATATATGATGCCTTAGTAGATTACATAAATTATAAAACAAAAATAAGGATAAGATGTAACTAAAACAATATTTTAAAAATAACTAGTATAATTATTAATGGATGGAAAAAATCTTTTCTCTCTCACTAAAAATTAACATTGATAATATCTATCAGTGAAAGCAATGTGATCAAATAAATTTCATTAATCTTAAAAGTCTTGATTTAGTATTTTGTGATAAACTAACTTAAAGATTCAAGTTCTGTTCATTTTCATACTTGGTTTACCGGCCTCAGACTTGAAAAAAAACACCACAAAAAGAAACGCAAATCCAATGGAAGAAGTTCTTGGTGGTTATGTTTACTAATCCATGGCATTAACTTTTCAATCCCATTCACCAATTATGTGAAGATTTTTGTCGAAATGTGCTAGTAAATATATATTTTCCCTGACACACATCAATTGTTTTTACAAGCTAATCAGAAGATGTTCCATATTGATATATTAAACAGATGATTTGCAAATCAACTGAAATCCTTTATTTGGAAGATTTCAAACAGATTAGAAAATTTTGTTATCAACTTTTTTAAAGTGGGCAGACATTCATTGAAATGAGTAAAATCATATGATGGAACTGTTACTAAAAATACACATTCAAAATGCACTCACTATAGTAAGGTCTGGCAAACTATATCCAGCCTACTACCTGTTTCTGTTATTAATCAAGTTTTATTGGAACACAGCCACATCCACTCACTTATGTATTGTCTGTGGTTGCTTTCATGGTACCATGGCAGAGTTGAATAGCTGCAACAGAAAGCATATGGCCTGCAAAGATGCAAATATTTGCTATCTGAACATTTACAGGAAAAAAGTGTGCTGACTTCTGCTCTACAGAATCAACTGCTATCAGAAAGCAGTTAACTTTCTCACTCATATTTACCTCAGAGTTAACCTGTGTTTATTTTTTCTGAAAATATTTTCTATCACACTACTGAAAGCTACATATCATTGCTGAAAAAGACACTGTCTCAAACAGCAAACTTCAAATACTTTCTAACTCATCTTTAACTCTGACCTCTGACCTCTAACCTCTTGAGGTAAGAGGCATTTATGGTTACTCTACCTCTTGTTACAAAATATTGTGAAGACCTTACTATTTCAGATAATACAACTTGTATATCTACTTACCCTGGCTTAGGTAAAAGTGTAATTCATGGCAACATACTGCACAGCACACCAGGGGTGGTGTGACTGTCAACCCCCTCTAGACCTATAACCTCTACTCTGTCCTCAGAATGTGTCTTTTTTGTTTATCACTTATCTGACATACAAACATCAATGTCAATTTGTATATAGCAAAATTTAATTAGTTTTTTTTAAAAAAAAAGATAGGTAGATAAATAGGTAGAAAGGAAGAAAATAAAGAAACAAAGATAAGTCCTATATTTTCTTTCTATATTCCAATTGATAGATCAGTGCATATCCCCAAGGGTACACAGTTACCCTGTATACATTTAGTCCAAATCCCTGAAACTAAAGTTTTTAGATACAGTAAATGAAACATCGGAATATCTACAGTACGTCAGGTTCCATAACTAATTGCTCAGTTTGCTAAAATTAGCTTAGGTCACAGCAGTACACAGTGTGGCTATCTTATTCCTCATACTAATACTAGGAATACTTTCCTCAGATTAGCCATATCCCTCTTGTAGGCAACTAGCAAGATGAGTGATTAAACCATTTCCTTGTAAACTAAATTTTTCTATCTTGTTTCCTTCACTCAATTCATATAAACTCGAGCTCCTAATCAAGGTTTTATAAATATTTTCCTTAAAAAAAGGTAAAAATTGAAATTTGACCAACCTATATGAAAGATGGAAGAATTCTAGCTTTGGGGATTACTGATTTTGTTCAGTGTTCTGCCACTAAATGGAACGGGGAATACAGGAAAAGGCTATGATTTGGCTAGAAAAGATAACTAGTTTGGTCTTGTACTTGTTGAATTAGAAGAATCTACAGAGATATTATCCTTGAAAATGAGGAGGAATCCTTTCTTAGGGAAAAGCGAAAAGGAAAGGAAAATGAAGAATGGCTTGGTGACCAATTAAATAGGAAAGAACTAAAAGTTGCCAGAGTTTTTCTTCACACTTAACTGGTCACCAAGTCCTGTGAACTTTAAAATGTCTCATACTCTGCCCCTGAGTTTTCAACTCTGATGTAGGTAAATCCTCATCTTTAACCAGACATGTTTTTAAAATAGCTGTCTCAATGATTTCTTGTCTTCAATGTCCCTTCTCTTTATCCTTCACATTATAATTATCTTCTAAAATAATATGATCACATCATTACTGCACAAAAAATATTTGACATGTTCCCACTTACATCATTTGAATGAATTTACTGGTTTTAACTAGAATTACACAGTTAACCACACCATTCTTATTTTATGAACCCTCCACAGTTCCCCTTTCAAATAGCTTGGCTGAATTTACAATTTTTGCATTTTAGTAACTAATGAGCAAGGATTTATTAAGTGTTGTACATTCTGCTAGGTTTGTAATATTGTTCCTATCCTCACAGATCTTAAACCCTAGTTGGACAATATAAGACTAACAAGCTTTTAGACACTGCTACATTGTTTGGCACTTAATTGTTCTGTACCCACTGTGTAACTGGAAATCAAAGAAAAGAGATGATGAAACATTAAGGAAAGACTTCATGGAGGAGGTGGAATTTTAGCTGAAAGTTGAGAGTAGGCAACACACAGAATGACAGTACAGGGGTTTAATAGATAGAGGCATCTGACAGCCCTGCAGGTGTAAGGACAGGCATGTGAAAGGCCACTGGGGAGGCGATTAATGGGGAAACTGAAAAGATGTCGGACACTAATAATGGGGAATAATGAGATACAATCTTGGCTACGGAAGATGGATTCCATGATAGAATGTCCGGGAAGCCAGAGAGAGGTGTTTAAATTGGACTTTATAGACACTGACTAAAGAAAGGGAAGAGATTGCATAAGATTATTCTAGCATCCACATTCATACATATGGAAGAGACAGAGACAGGTAAGCAGAGATATTTGGAAAGAAATTATAGGGCTTAAAGAGAGATTGCAGTCAAAGAAAAGAAATCAAAGAAGAGTACAAAGTTTCTAGCCTTGGAAACTATGAAAATGAAGACGTCACTAAAATAAACAGGGAAGTTGGGAAAAAAAGAAGGTTTGAGAATGGGGAAGAGATGATTTTGGACATGTTAGATTTAAACATATCCAAGTGGAGCTATCCTAAGGCTACTCTACAGCATAACACTGGGATGAAGCCAGGAATTTGGGGCGAGAATAGATAGGCATAGTGATCTATCAAGGCCTTATCTCTATTTGGGGCTTTAAGGCCATACATTATCAATTTTGAGCCTCAAAACCTAGGAAGGTAGAAGAGCAAAAATTAATAGCTTCATTTCACAAATAAAGAAACTAATGTTTAGAATTAATGTGACTTGCCCAAAGTCAAACAGTTTATGAGCAGCAGAGCCAGGAAAATTCTAGTTCCCTACTCTTGCCATTATACTCGCCGACTTCCAGAAAGCAAGCAAAGCTCAAGGCTCTTCTTCCAAAAGGAGTCATCAGCATGAGGCAATAGCTGAGGCCATGAGGATGTATAATTCTTTGAAGGCAGGAGTATAGAAAAAGAAAGGATTCCTTGGCAGGAGTACAGAAAAAGAAAGGATTCCTTGCAGATACACACAATTAATTGAAATGCGGAAGGAAGAAAGCTGAGCAAGAGATACCACCAAGCTGACAGGAGCACTCAGGAGGGTAGGAAAAAAATACGAACCAGAAAGGCGCAGAGTCAGGAAAGCCAAAAACGGAGTAAGCACTCAGTGATCTTAAATGCCAAAGTTGGAAGAAAATGAAGATTTGGCATGGAGGTAACACATTTGATGGATGAAAGTTTTTCAAAAATTACTCCTGAGATATCGGGGGAAAAAATTCCTTCAAAATGTTTACTAATATCAATGTCCACTTGCTACAGCATCAAGGGGATTGTATTCTATTTTTTCATATGTTAAACCTCTACTTCACAAGTTATATTAACATAGATGTGAAATGTTTTCCAATGTTGAAAAATTATAAAGTCTAAGAAAATAAAGTAACTATTTAATTAGTCTTATAAAAATAAAATTTGATCTTTTAAATCACAGCTCAAATATAGGTCAACATAACTGCATCAGTTATTTCACTTTTTATCCAAAAAAAAAATTTTCAGTTTTTATCTTCTCCATATTTGAGAAGCTTTTGATAAACATAAATAATAATTTACTTTTTGCTGTGATCTATTTTACTAATTCAAAGTTCCAGTAAAGGAAAAGAGTGAGAGCTATAAAAAATCAAATCTACAGATATACCCAAAGTAAAATTACACATGAAGTAATTTACCAAGTGTTAATAATAATAAATAGAAATAACATGGTCAATCTTCTGATCATAAATGCAACTTAAGTGGAAATTAGCATGCAAAGAAAACCGAACTATTTTATCCTCATTCTAACATGACAGATATAAAATATTTTTAACTAAAATCAACTTTTATTCGTGATATTTTTAGAACACAGCACCATCTTTGCACAAATAAAGTTTTAGAAGGGTCCTTGGAAATTATATCTTTCTCAAAGTTTTAAAAAATTTAATGACAATGAATTAAAAATTTAAAAGTCACAGAGCTAATCAAACAACCTGCTACTGACCTTGCTCAAGTCTGAAGAGGGTCTTTTCCAGCTTTTCCATTTCGTTCAGAAGTAAAATTCTAATCTGTTTACTGTGTCCCATTTTGGCTTCTAGAGGATTTGAAATTTTTCAGAAGAATTAAAAGAACTCCGAAATCGAATGAGTTACCCCTATGAAACAAAAAGGAATTAAGATAAAGAAAATAACTATTATTTTAAATTTTCTAAGGCTGACAGCCGCACTTACATGTTGTAAATGTGTTTTAACCCTAGCAGAGCAAAGAGAAAGAATGAATCTTATAAATAACACCAGAGAAGGCAAATTGATAGTTGTTTCCTCCCTTTGAGCACAATAAGACTGAAGCAAAAATACTGTAATATAGATTCTTACAATTAAAACAAAAACAAAAAACCTAAAGTATTCTCCGAGAAGAGCAATAGGTTTTGGAAAGCCTGGAGTTGGGTAAGGGGGAAAATTCCCAGGGCCCAGCCAAAGAGCTTTGAAGGCTCCAAATGGCACTTCTGCTTACAAGAGATTAGTCTGCTCAAAGATAACAGGTGGGAGATCGTCCCCATTCCCAAATTCGGGTTGGAAGCCACCAATGGGGAGATGAGAACAGAGGGAAGCAGTTGCTGCCCCTGGAATAGCTGCTGCAGACATAGGATGTACCTACAGAGCTATAGATAGAAAGAATGCATGTCCCCGAGAGACCAGGGGCATTCCTAGCACTTACACCGAGCAAGCTGTACGTGCGGCTTCTGGGACACTGCAGGAGCCGCCCCTCTGGTGTTAGAGTCGGGGGAGGGGACAGGAAGGAAAGCAAAGGGGGAAAGGCAAGCTGCCCGGGCGCGGAGAGAAGCCCGAGGCAAGCAGGGCCGGGCGCCGTGAAGGGCAAAGGGAGGGGCAGCGGCAGCCGGGACAAGCCGAGGCCGCCGCGAGAGCGGCAGAGAGCTTCTCCGTGCCCCCGCCTCGCGCTGGTCTCCGAGGAGACTCCCGACCCCCAGGGGCCTCGAGCGCCCACGCCCCGGGTGGGAGTGGACAGGTCCCCTGGCCGGCTTCCGGGAGGTTCCGCACCGGCTCGCCCCGGCCGCTAGTCTCGCGAGAGTGGGGTTGCCCGGAGCCGAGGTTGAGAGGCGGCTGCGGGCCCGGCAGCGAGCCGTTCTGTCTTCCGCGCGCAGGGCAGGTGCGAGGCCCGGGTGCACCCGTCCTGTAACAGCCTGCGATCTCGTGGTTGGGCGTAAAGATGCTGCGAGCTAAGTGAAGGTGTGCAACGGAGTCGTTTTGTGAAAGGGCTGAATGGTGGGGAAGCAAGCGACCTGGCTCCCTGTGCCCTTTCTGTCATGATGTATTTTGTGTTTCTTTTTCTTCTTTTTACGTGGCCTAAATTTACTTGGCCTAAATCTTCTGAGCCTTGATTTCCCCGTGTCTGAAATAAGGGACCTGGCTACAATCTCTGACATTACATCCTACACGTGTCCACCAGTCTTAACACAGACAGGGCACATCTTCCTGAATGCAGACTCGGAAGGACTAGGTAGGTGAAGTGTGGCCAGTCTACAAACAATTGAGGGTGCGAATACCCCTGTGTTTACAACGTCTGGTTGTACCTAGTGTACACAGCAGGGACCTGAAGATCGCCTGAGATTAAGGATCTATATTGGCTATAGCTGCACATATTTTAGGCCAGAACTTCAGGATGCGGTTCAGATGCTTAAGGAGATTTTATGCCTGAAGGAAAAGAAAAACCCATCTTCCAGGGCTTTTAGGGCACCTGAGGATCATGAAAAAAAATGGACAAAAGGTTTAGAGCGTGTAGAAGAATTTTGCTTTCTTTATTGTGCAATTACTGTAGGTCCAAGGAGTATAGTGGGTGAAAAACTAAAGATACTGAAATGTTTGTTTCAGTAGATTTCTGAGAATGACTGGCTGCAAATGATCCACAACTGAATTTGGAAACCCACAGTTCATTTATTCATTCAGCTAATATTTATTGAGCACCTATGATTTGGCAGGCACACAGGCGCTGGGAATGCAGCAACAGTAAACGGAAGTGACCACTCTCATGGAACTCCTACATTTTCTTAGTGGAAGACAGTAAATAAATAAATTATACAGGATAATTAAAAGTTGTAAAAAATAAAGCTGAGAAGGGGGAAGTGTGGAAGAGTTAGGAGAGGCAGGTTTGCAATTTTAAATACAATGATCAGTAAAGGACTTGGTCGTAAGTTGACATTTGATCCCAAACAGAGAAAGAATAATATCCAGGGTAGAGAGTTACATACAGAAGCAGAGGAAGTGACAAGGCCATGAGGTAGGAGCATACTTGGTGAATTCAAGAAGGCCACTGTAGCTGAGTGAAGAGAGTGGTAAGAAATTAGAACAGATAGATGGAGTGGAGGGGGCCACCAGATCTTGTAATGTTTTGTAGGCTGTTGCAAGGACTTGGGCTTTTACTCTGGGAAAAAGAGCCATTGGAGAATTTTGAACAGAGGAGTGACCTTTTAAAAGGATCACTCTGCAACTTTGTGGGAAATAGCTAAATAAACTGTAGGGTGTTGTGAGAAAGGAAGCAAGGAGACCAGTTAAGAAGCTATTTCAGTTACCCACACAAGAGATAGTGATTGTGTGTGTGTGTGTGTGTGTGTGTGTGTATGTGAAAAGAAGATATAGCGGGGAAGGTGGGGAGAAGTTGGTGAATTATGGATCTATTGTAAAGGTAGAGCCTACACAATTTGCTGTTGGAGAGCGAGGAGTCAAGGATGATTCTAAGGTTTTTAGCCTGAGTAACCAGAACATTACTGTCTAATGGAAATATAATGTGCCACATAGGTAATTAAAATTTTTCAAGTAGCCACATCAAAAAAAGAAACAAGTGAAATTAATTTTAATAATGTGTTTTAATTAACTTACTAAATCTAAAACATTATTGCAACGTGCAGTCAATATAAAAAGTTATTAATGAGGTATTTTAGGTTCTTTATTCATGCTAAGTCTTTGAAACCTGCTGTATATTTTACACTTCCAGCATGTCTTGATTCTGATAGCTACGTTTCAAGTGCTTGATAGCTTCACGTGGCTAGTGGCTATCGTATGGATAGCGCAGAAGAAGCTGCCATTTAATGAGAGAGGAGGAAAAGGGAAGGAGCAGACTGGAGGGTGAATTCAGGAGTTTGGTTGTAGGTTTTCAGCAGTCCATTGAAGATGATTGTCCACTTGTGTGAGATGACTGTCAAATATCCAGGTGGAGATACTGAGTTATAATTCGTAGCCCTCATCTCTAAAGTAGTGTTTTTCAAATTGTGAGTCATAACCCACTGAGGGTGGTTAAATTAATTTACTAGTTGCAACCAACAGTTTTTAAACTAAAATGGGAAAGATCTGAATGCATTGCATCTGGTAAGAGTATGATTTAACAAAACTTCTGTCTCTATTACTTATGTTTTGATGTACTGGATCATGTATTCCTACTGGAGGCAACGGTTTAAAACAAGTTTGAGAGCTACTGCTCTAGAGTGTATCCTGTGTAAAATCATAATAATTCATGATTATGAAATGGTGCCTGGATTTGAATCCCAGCTCTGCCACTAACTAGCTTTGAAGCTTTGGAAGATGCTCAACTTCTTTGTGCTTTGGTTTTTCCAACTGTACAGTAGAGATAAAAATAGTACCTACTATTAATTAAATGAGGACCTAGAACTGTTCCTGGAACATACTAAGTACTGTGTGAGTACAAATATTAGAGCAAAGTGGGCCCCTGACCATATTATGAAGCACAGTTCACATTTATGTTTGTCTTCAGGCTCTCCTTTCCATACGCCCTTCTGCTTGCAGTCTCTCCTACGATATCTCATTACACTCCCTGCTGTTGATCACTCTTCTCCAGGGCTCCAAAATGAGCCTTTCCTTTTGTCCTCCCTCCAGCAAAACTCTCACGTTAGTGCCCAATATTTCAGCTAGATATAAGGAGTAAAAGAGATTAATGAAATGAATTCCTTTAGTAGTGAGTTATTCTTACACAAATCCTTGAATTTTAAAAGAAAACTTGTTAATCCAAGTGACCTTAATTTTGGAGATCTTCCATTGTGCAAGAAAGTAAAGACTGTTAAGTAATGGAAATATTATGATTTGTTATGATGTGTCTCTAAGATTAATTTTACAAGCCACATAGTGTCCTTTTTAAAAAGAAAAGTCACACTAGTGCGCTGTCTGTGAACTTCTTGGAATACCAATGAATTTCAGTCTAGGGCTACAGTGGTGCCTTGTGCAGCCTTCATCTTGGTCAGCATTTGTCATGTGCATGTCCTGTGCATGACAGTGATCTATATATACACAATAATCTCATACTGGTGCTGTCAGGAGAAGAATCTCCTTGAGAAAAAACTAATAGATAATCTCAGCTATTTGGCAGTGACTCTAGTGTTTTCTAAAACATGGATATTAATGCACCTGGGGAGTGGGTGAAGGGCTATAATCAGAAGGGGCTTCAGGTTTGTGTAGGTATGTGTATGTTTCCTGAAAGGAAAGGAGTTATTTTCTCAATCTTGTAATCTTCTGGGTCTGAAGTGGGCAGGGCTGTCTTATTTGGATTTTATATTCATCAGTATTTTCTGTATATTGTATTTTATAGTGATATTATACTGACATTATTAATAAGTTTATCTTATAGAATTTGGAATTGTGTCTCCAAATCCCTTCTCAGCTGAATAGTTTATTCTGCATATTTTGAAATATATGGGTGTAGCCAGTGAGGAGAAGAAGGGAAGATAGGAAAGGAAATAGAACTGAAGTCAGAGGAGTGGGAGGACCTAATAGAATGATATAGAGTATGGAAAACCAGAGAGAGATTTTAAAAAAGGAGATAGTACAACATAAAGAAAACGGACTTTGGAGACAAACCAACCTCAGATTAGTTCAAATCTCTCTGAATCACAGTTGATTCATCCCTAAGATGGAGAGAACAGCACCTCACTTGTAGGGTTGGTGTGAAGATAAGATGAAATAACGAAAGCATTTAAAACATCTATTGTAGCATTTAGCAAAAATTAGCCTTTTAATAATGATAGCCTGAAAAAAGGAAGAGGTGATGCCTAGTTGTCTCTGCTGAGTCAAGGATGGCAGCCAGACAAAGCAGATGAAGAGACAGACTCCCAGGGCATGGCAGAGACGAGAGACATAATCAAAAGGCTCTCACTCTGTGAAGAGGCAGTGTAAAGGGGAATTCAGAGCAAAGTCAGAGCCCAAGGTTTCAGCTAAGTCATAGAAAATAGAGGAAGGACAGCCTAAGAATGAAGTAAGGTTAGTTGTTGTGCAGTAAATATTTGTTAGAAAACTTATTGAGATGCGCATATAGAGAGGTAAATATAGTTGTGTTTCTATTGAAACAAAAAACAAAGAACAAATCTTGAGTTCTTAGAACTTGCATAGGGAAAGTCATTGAAAAATTCCTAAGCATCAACATAACAAATTAGCTAAAAACAGTGTATGGAATGCTTGGAAACCATGGTAGGAGGAAACTTGAGAGGATTTTTTTAGTGGTGATCTTTTCTTTTTTCTTAGGATATATCGATTAAAAGTTCTTTGGCCCCAAATTTAAAGCTAAGTCATTTTGCCCTTGCACATAAATTTAACTTCCTGTTAAATCCTGGCTCCAGAGTTTCCAT